GTCAATAATGATACCGAGAACGTACTGAACGTAGCGATGAAACCCTTCAGAATAAGAACAAACAGCAGAGCTTCTGAAATCAAGGATGAACTCTGACCTGAGAGTGTTACAGTTGCTTGACATCAAACTGAAACTTCAGGCTTCATTAGATGATCACAGAATCACAAGCAGCGTTAATATTTATCACTGCGATGGATGTGTCATGTGATACAGTTGCCATTTGTCATAAAAGCGCTTTCCGATGAGCAAGTTTTCCCTGTTCGCAGCGGTCAGAAACTTCGAGTGTCAGAGCGCAGATGGAAACTTGGAGATCTGTCACCGTGAGCTGAGCTCACAGATGATGAAGTGACGTATTTAAGTTTCATTTCAGGGCGGGATAACATGACCACAGGGTTTATATCCACTCGCTCTTACACACCAGAAGCTTTAGGTTTGACCTTTAATGCCAAGTTTGAACAGAAGTGAACCGGACTGAAAGTGAAAAAAGCTGCTGAGTCAGACTGATCAGTATGCCCATGTTGTTTCAGGCCAGAGCAGTGTGTTACACTCTGAGCTGTCAGTCACTCTGAAATGAAACTCAAGACTGTCGTACCACTCGCTCTTCATCACTATTTCTATTAGCTGTGTTTAGACATTTCCTCTGTGCTTCTGAGCGCCGTCAATCTGGAAAAATAGCTCATAGGAAATTGTGTCTGGTAACATGCCGTCATCACGTCGACTCTCAGCATGCTGACGTGATTTTATGTATGTTTTATGTTTTCTCATTCAAACTTAAAGCTTAAAAAAGTAGCCTGTAAAGTTCAGCAGATTGAACTAGTTCAGGTCCAGACCAGGTTTTAAGTGAGACGGTTTCTGTGTCTTCTGCTGTTTCCTATCAGAGTTTGATGCTGCTGAACATAAGGAGGATATTACTAGTAATGGAGTACTTTACCATTGTGGTATTGGTACTTTTACTGAAGTAACAGAGTTGAATACTGCAGACATATTTCATGATAATCTGTTCAGCCTGTTTAATGTTAAAGGTTGTGTTTCATATTTACTGCCTGTTGTGTTGACCCTGTTTTCATCACTTATGGTCAACTCTCTACCCTGCAGCTGCTCAAGCTACAAAAAAGGGCAATCTGGTCCCCTGCCTGCAGCAGCATACCTTTGCATTAGCACACAAACTGTAAGCTGATATTAAGATTTGAGGCAAAATATTAATATGCAACTGCAATAAAACATGTGAGCCTATAGTGGCCCTGGACTGCTGCAGTGAAATGAGTCGCTGACTTGCCTACAGGAATAAGACCAGATCATTTACTAGGCTGTCACTCAAACTTTTGGTGCACTCAGATTGAGTAGGCCTGTAAATAGGGCAGTCACATATTTGCACATTTCCTTGTTTTAAGCAGACCTATGTAAGCTACAGCCTAACACACCTGTAACAATAATCCATAGCCTATCGATGAAGATGTGGCTCCAGCTGATCACGTCCTCACAGAGGCTGTTAGCCCACAACCATGTTACAATTAGTCTGGTGGTTCTGTAGTGTGTTACTGACACATTTCTATTACAGCTATGATAACTTTATTCTTGGAGTTTGTATCAGTCCTTGGCTCCAACAGATAAGATAATCACCTTTATTGGCCAAGTATGTTACACACAAAGAATTTGTTTCCAGTACAGAACTGATGGTTCTGCAGAGCTCTAACTATCGGGGGCGGTTCAGTGTCTTTCCCAAGGACACGTTGACACATGGATTGCCGGCACCGAGATTTGAACCTTCAACCTTCTGGTTGGGAGACGACTGCTCTACCACCACTGTCACCAGCTCAAATGACTGAACAAAAACTAAACAACTGAAGTAGCTGCTGTTCGGTTTGCACTGTACTAGATTACAGTTCTTTCTTCCAGCCTATAACTAGTTAGTAGCCCAAGATTCGAAGTGAAACAGGACAGTGGAGCAGTACATGCAGTGCCAGAAATGCACCAAACTATTTGAAGCATTTAATTTAACATCTTTCCTCTGAACTTTTGAGGCACACCTTTATGGTTTTATACTTTTGTAATTCACTTAATTAGAGCCAGTAGCCATCACTAGCTATTGCAGGGAGACAGAGGTGAAGAAGAAGAGTCTGCTGAGGCTCGGGGCACAGTATCGTTCCCCGTTGATGCAGCTCTGCTCTGTGCATATGACTCAGGGCAGATGCTGTTAGTCGGAATCTGGTGCTATGAGCCGTAATGAAAAATGTTTTAAAAACTAAAATATATGATTAAAAACAAACTGTCCCACAGAAAAGGGCCTGTAGTGTGCATGTGGCTGCCTTAACATGTATTTGATTGATTGGGTGAGTGAGTTATTTGTTTCTTTAACGTTATAAGAAGCATGAGTGTGTGTCAGTTGTCCACTAGCTGGACAAAGCAGCAGCATCAGTCTGTGCAAACTCCTGCTCTGCAGCCAAACTTCATTCGGCATCTTTAAACTCCAGCATTCTTGTTAAAGCATCAGCCATTGTAGACGTAAAACACAGTGGATATTTTACTGAAGAGAACACACTGAAATCTGTATGAATGTGTCAGTAAGCTTTTTAATTTTCAATGTTTCCTCATTGTTTTATCTTTAATTTGAGCCTTTTTAACAGTTTTATGAAATGAGTCAACAAGGTGACATTTATCTGAACTATGCTTTTAGAAGTTTTCTTTACAAATATTTTTTAAGATTCAGTCTTATTAACCTCATAGTTTATAAAGACAAACTCAGTGTTTGGTGTCAGCTCTAAATCACAGCAGCAGATCATCAATAAAATGTGGACATTTGAGACTATTGCCACTTATTTCAACAGATTTAATAATAATTATGTGTGTGTGTGTATATTCTGAGTTAAATTTGTTGACTGGCTTTGCTTTATGTCTCATTTAAAAACAAAACTTATGTAAATTGTTATAAAACCATAAAATACAACAAATTCAAATAAACAAAAAGAAACATTTGATCATAAGTGAATTGTGTAAATTAGAAGAAACGTATACATGAAAAATTATTGACATTAAAGAACAAAATAAATATAAATATTGATTTTTGTTTTTTAAATTCCTTCTAATGTTGAATTTGTAATTCATTTATTTAAGTGGCTTATTTTCCTTCTTTTATAAAAAGCCCAGAATCAGTTTTAAAAGTTTAACTGTTCATGTGCAAATGATCAGCAAAGTCTAAACTTTTAAAAATAAGGTTCTCCTTCCAGGAAAAATTGTGGTTTTGTGTTATTGTTCCATGTTTCTTCAGATACACAAACTCATTATTTTGTTTGTTAGACTGAGAGAAAAACAACATTTTGACTGTGAGAACCTTGTTTCTGCAGATTAGACCTGACACACCTCCTCAGTTGTGGGAATGAGTGAAATGTGAATGGATGAAATGAACTCACCGTCAGTCTGCTGCTAGTCCTGGTCTTTGTTGATCTGGTTGTGGTTCTGAGAGCTTCTGTATCTTGCGGTTTAAATAAACCTCCAGGAAGGACAGAAACAGAAACTCTGCTTTCAAAGCCACAGCTTTTTGGACTTTCCACTTGATTTCCACATGATTTCCTGCTAATTAATGAGATTTTAATGATGGTTTTCTGTGTACAGGTATACACTGCATGTTTACTTTTTTCATGAACTCAGACACATTAGGGGTTTTTTAAATGTATTTTCAAGAATTAGGAGGCCATAAAAGCTAAAACATCACAGGTACTTTGTGCCTTATGAGGATCTCAGTTTTTTTTATTCAGGTGTAAATTCAAAGATTTACTCCAAAATTGGGATTAATGGAATCTGATGCATTAAGAGAAAATGGATTTTAATGGATAAAAGCACCTTAAAATTAAGAACACTGTCCCTTAATTTTTATAAAACTATTAACATAGTATGTAAATTATGGATTGAATCCAAATTTCAGGTTAATTGTTGACTTTGACTCCTGTGAAATATTTATTGTCTTTTCATTTATCCATTTAGCTTTGTCCTCAAAAGTCCTATGATATTGTTCAATCATTATTTTATCAGTTAATGAGATTTAATGTAAAATGTATAAAGATTACATTTTTATTTAACCTTTTTCTAAAAGAGTGCTTCTGAATCTGAGAGTCGGGACCCTTCAGGGTCATGAGAGGATTAATGGGACAGAAAAAAAGACTGATATTGTTAAGTTTATGATTTTTTTTATTTTTGTTTCTCCATATTTTTGTCTTGTGAAATACTGAACAACTGCACATCTCCAAACATCTGACAAGTATTTAAATCCAAGACTCAGAGGAGAAGCTCGTTGATACTGGACTGAGGATTACAAGCTGACTCATCTTCATTTTAAGGGGTTAACAGCCAAATAAAACCTGGAAACTAAAACCCATTGTAAGCTGCATCGTCGCACCGTATTCTTCTGGCCACAATGTGTATTAGGTTCCATGTTGTGAATCAAAGCAAAACCTATCTGTGTCGTCACACATCAGAGCGGCTCAGGATGCGGTTTAACCCCCGAAGTCTTCAGTTCACATTTACACAGAAAAGTCAACAGACGGAGGAGAGAAAAGAAAGAGAGTTCAAGTCAAGATAGACGACAGGAAGTTCAGTTTACATTTAGATAGAAAATGAGAGAAAAGAGAGTCGAGGATTTGAAAACAGGAAAGAAACCCCCCTCTGGGGCTTTTCACTACTACTCGAGATTTTTCTGAATGATGAAGAGGAGGAAAGCCGTCATCAGTCTTCAGCTGCAGTCACACAGTTTCTACTTCAGCTTTAAAAGGAAAAGTGATGAAGCCAAACTCAGTTTAAACCTCAATCAGCTGCTTCAGCATTTTCTGAGATTAGCAGTTAGAGCAGCGAGAAAGGCTGAAGAAAGGCCAGTGTTGTGCAGCAGTGACCTGATGTTGAACTAATGGCAGAGACGCGCCCGGTGAGCATCCGTCAGGGCTCATCGTCTCGGTGTGTCCTCCGCCACTGGCACCAGTCGGTCCCTGTTGGCGGCTTTTAGCTGATCTGACATGAATCGGCGGCGGCAGTCGGGCCTCATCGGTGAGAGAGAGATCGCTCTGATTGGCTGGTGAGCTTAGTGAATCAAAAAGAAGCCTGTTGCTGTGGCATCCATGAGTTCACCAATTTAGTTCAGTTTCTCCTTGTTTTTCACCTCCAAGACCTCCTCTCTTCTTTCACGACCAAAAGGCCAAGGGCAGAGAACGGCAGCGTCATTTGCAGCTTCTCATCAGACTATTCTCCATTAGAAGCAGCTGTTTTAATTAAACAAGAGCTGTTTTGTTTACAGCTTATACTTCCTCAGTGTAGCAGATCTTCTTTCCCTTTCTGAATGGCAACTAAACACCGCCACTTGCTGGTAGGGGAGTTATCTTTGTCACGCGGGTGCATAACATACGTGCTAGTCTTGGCTCTCTTCTGTGCAGTGTTTCAACCCGGCTGACCCAAAAGACAACGTGGGGCGATGCAGAGGTCAGTCTCCGTTGCTGCTGGTTCTTTCACATCGGCTTGGTGTGGCTCTGCCCTAAGGCTGAATCCACATCTCAGCAGCGGCACCTCAGTCCTGGTGTGTCCACAGCAGTGTGAACTCAGTGTCCTCAGACCAGATCTGGGCCACCTGCGTATGTGCTCCTAGACCCAATTCCTCTCCGACCTCTGACTGTGCGAGCGCCGACAGATCAGAATCCATGAGGTCATTTTAATGTCTCCCCTGGTTGTTACTCTTCTGTGCACGCAGCTCACATTTCAGTTACATCTGTGCATGTGTGGCAGTTTAGGAGCTCGGTGGTGTTCACACCGGAGCCGGGTACACGGCACTGACAAACACAGACGGGCAGCAACACAACAAGGTCAGAACTGAGCATTAAGGCCTGGGATGTGGGCACAGCCCTAGTCACAGGTACAAACACACTAGAGCCCTTGAAAGAACCAGTCATAAAAATAGATTTATTTTTAGGTTTCTTAGGTTCTATCCAGTCACTAGCAAGCGATGTTGTCTCTCTCTTTTCCATAACACGAAATGTCATTGTTTTCTCTTTTGGTGTTGCATTTTCTGAAATGCTGTGTTTTGCACTTCAGGTTGAGGCTGGGCCGGTTCTGTCTGTCATATATGTAATGAATAGTGGAAAATACCATACAGTAAATATGCATACTGTGAGAACTATTTATTTATATATTCAATCTATGAAAGGGTGGGTGCTGCAATCCACTCAGTCCTCCACAGATTTTGAGATGGAACACAACATAGTGCATCATTTGAGCTCTGTCATATCTCTCAAACATCTTTCTGATTTTTTCACTCTGTGACTGTACAGATGCTGATGTTTTACGTTTCTGGAAAGAAATACATCCACCTCTAGTGTTAAAGTACTCAGAGGTTAGTCTTGGGATACAAAGTGAGAATGCATAGTCTTCCACAGCTGTTTTCTGGGTATCTACACCTGTGTGTTGCTACATTGTGCTGTCATGTAATTGTTGCTTTCAATTTGCCTCCAATGTTTTAATCTCATTTGCATTTTAATGTTTTATCTACCTGACCTGTCCAGGGTGGAACCTGCCTCTCATCCCTCATCCAGTGTTAGCTGGGATTGGCTCCAGCACCGCCCCCTTCAGGAGAAGTGAGTATAGATAATAGATGGATGGAAGTTTAATCGGTGTGTGTGTGCATTGTGTTCAGCACTTTCAGTGATGTATAAATAAGCCTTGCCTTTATTTGGTGTATACTGTAGGCTGGCACATTTGTTAGTTTGTTGAACTTGCAGGGGTGAAAATGTGCAGTGTGTCTGCAGCTCTATGTGAGCTGTTCAGAATCAGAATCAGTTTTATTGGCCAGGTGTGTTGGACACACGAGGAATTTGACTCTGGTACGTCGGCTCTCAATGAGCAAATAGTAGACCAGCATAAGGCTGTGTAATGTAACAAAAATAAGCAGTATTTACAAGCAACAAAGTGAAAACAATGCAGAATAAGCAGTATGAACAGACAGTAACAATGCAGACAGCAAAGGAATGTTCTTTGAAATGAGATAAATAGGGATAAAAAATAGGGTACTTAAAACTGAGTACTAGAGACCTGTACGAGTCTGTATAATCTGCTGAGAGAGTGTCTCAGTGATGCAGCTCTGAGGTTCAGCACCCACCTGAAAAAGGGAGTAGACTATTAGGCCATAGCCTGTGCATTTATTTATTCATTCACTAATCTAACTTGTAGGCTATGTCACCATGTCAGCATCAAAATGAACAGGCACTGCTGAAAGGAAGAAGAAAAAAAACTCTTTAACTCTAGAACAAAAGGGGAGCATTGAGGTTGAAGGCTCTGTGGTCCTGTGCTTTTTGTAAATGTTTTTGAACCCAGTCATCTTTTGTTAATCAAATGGGCACTGCAGTGTAGGTCTAAAGATGAGCAGCCTAGTATATGGGATATATGGTCCAGGACAAAGACGAGTTTTACGTGGAAAAAGATAAATCTACTGATATAACTGTTTACAGGCAGTTTACTCTCACAGACCTTTTACAGTTGAGTGTCAAACTCTGTTTTCTTTCACCTACTTGGAACTCGCTTTCTCATTCATATCTGTCTTGGCTAAGTTATTTGTCTGTAGGGTTTGTGCTGTTCCTATTGCTGTCTTCAGTCCAAAATGGTGGCTGCACTACCACTGTTGGCAAAAAAGCACCAGAGTGTTGCCTCTTGGCTTAGAGGCCTGCTCCATAACACCTAATCCAGACACAGTGTTCAGCATCAGTGTTTCTGTTGAAGTCTTTGATCACAGCAGCAAAGGCTTGAACAAATTTAAATTACTTCATTAAATTCAGTCCAGTGACTGGGGCTCCTCCAAAGACACCTGCACAGAGACTAAAGTACTTCATCAAGAACCTGCTCAGAGACTAAAGTACTTCATCAGACACCTGCTCAGAGGCTAAAGTACTTCATCAAGAACCTGCTCAGAGACTAAAGTACTTCATCAAGAATCTGCTCAGAGACTAAAGTACTTTATCAGGAACCTGCTCAGAGACTAAAGTACTTCATCAAGAACCTGCTCAGAGACTAAAGTACTTCATCAAGAACCTGCTCAGAGACTAAAGTACTTCATCAAGAACCTGCTCAGAGACTAAAGTACTTCATCAGACACCTGCTCAGAGACTAAAGTACTTCATCAGACACTCACTCAGAGACCAAAGTACTTCATCAAGAACCAGCTCAGAGACTAAAGCAGAGTAAAGTAAAGGCTCCTCTGGTGTCACTCCACCATTAGACCTCGTTATCTCTTGGGGTCTATGTGTTGTTATTAAGTATTTGTCAAATATAGCTATATCTAATCACTTCCTTCATTTTGAAGTTTCGCTACCGATTAGGCTACCCAGACCGGTGGCCCCTCGGCTGCATCACAGGATTATTACTTCCTCTACCCCCTCTGACTTTGCTGCTGCGTTCTTAGGTTCTGAATTCTATTCCTCTGTGGTTCAGAATCCTCCATCCTGCCCTGAGGTATTTCTCTCCTCGCTGAATTCGACTTCGGCCCGGATTATGGACTCTATTGCGCCTCTCAGGACTAGAAGGGCTGTCAACATATCTTCTCCTTGGCTAAATGACACTACCCGGGCCTTGTGGAGGATCTGTAGGCAAGCCAAACGCAAGTGTAAAAAAGACGGATTGCACGTCTCGCTGGATATTCTAAGAACTAGCCTCCTTGCCTACCAGGAGGCTGTGAAAGTCTCTAAAATTCAATTCCTGTCCAACGCTATAGCAACAAACAGTCGTAACCCGAGAGTCCTTTTTAGAACTATACACTGTTATTAACCCAGTCGGTGCTTTGCCCTTGGAGGGTTCCACTGCTCTGTGTAACCAATTTTTAAGATATTTTAGTGATAAGGTTGGGGATTTCAGGCGCAATATGCCTAAGCCCTTAGTGTATTCACAGCCTGTTTCGCCCATAGTTCATACTCTTAATTCCTTCACTCCGATTTCCCTATCTCAATTAAAAGAGACTTTAGCTTACTTAAAACTGACCTCTTCGCCTCTTGACCTGCTTCCTACCAGGTTCATCAAGGAGGGTTTTGATGTTCTGGGTCCCATTCTGGTCATGTTCATTAATCTCTCCTTGGATACGGGTGTGGTCCCGACTGCTCTTAAGCATGTGATAGTTCGCCCACTCCTTAAAAAACCTCTTTTTTTGGCTCTTTCTGGGCATGAAGCCATACTGCTGCTCACAGATATCCACTTCCTTTCTTAGCCTAGCTTCCACTGCTCTTTCCCATAGCTTCATTGTGTG